AAATAATCCCCTACCTGCCGGCAGAGACAGACAGAAACTTCATGTGCGCAGCCTTCTGCAGAGGCAGACTGGTTGGAGATAGCCGGGAAAGAATTTTTATTTTATTTATTAATCATAACCTTAACAAGTTTTTTTTTTTGTTTCAGATTCTGCACATATTAATCCCTGACCTGCTGTCATGTTCCTTGACCTACATTAACCTTTTTTTTCTGAATTCCTGAGATGGACATTCATGATAAAACAATTGCGTTCCCTCCAAATGACTGAGATTTTTTTTTTTTGCTTTTATTTGTAAAAAAAAATCTTATAAACTGTGTTTATCTTTTCTAAAATGTGTTTTTAGACACATTGATGTTTGTGGTTGTAACGTGATAAAAAGTCAATTAAAAAGCCCCAGTGTCGTCATTAAGTTTACTGAAACCTGGCTGTATGAAGTTGTTGGGTGATGGTGGGATTCCAAACCCATTGGTCATATAAGGAGAGCTGAAGTCATCCATTTCATCATTGAAAATGATCCCAGTGGACCGAGACATGACTTTAGACCCAAAGCTGTGGAGGAAGAACAAATATTATTTATCTCACTCAGTGTCTAATAAATGAAAGTGAATACGTGGGCGGACACAGCAGGCTCTCACTATAGGTTAATGGTACTGGTAGCGGCGACGGCACTTCCATCCTCGGCTATGACGGACAGGTGAGCTGTACCGTGGTTTTCCGGAACAAAATACTCAGGCTCATAGTAGTTATCGGGATGCGTGGTGTCATCGGTAATTCTACTCCTGATTCCGTCAGCAAAGTAGTCTGAGGTCATGTTATGAATCAGCTGAATTTGTGCAAAACAAGTCAGTGGAAGAGAGAAGAGTACATGAAAAACAGCATGGGATGTTTTTAAGGGATGAGAAGCTCTCAGACTCTTGATGATCCAGTGAAACTGGAAATACTGCAGAATGAAAGCTGTGAATGGAGTGAGCTTACATCGGTAATGTTGAGGTACCGTGGGTCGCCCAGTCTGCTTCTCTTGGCATAAGCAAAACGAAAGGCCTCGACGATGCGGTGGTACGTTAGAGTTTTTCTCTCCGCTGTCGAGACGCTTGTGTCTGAGAAGTTGTACCCTTAAAAAATATTAAAACATACAAAGAAAATGAAGCAGAAGAAAAATATCCCATAAAAAACGTTTTTTTTTCTTTTCTACAAACATGAAACTACAGGTAACTATTTATTTAGTTTTAACAATTCTGAAAAAAAGGAATTACTTAAGAATCTTTTGTATAATTACAGGAAAAAAATATTTTGGTGAGGAAGATATTGGGGAATGACAAAATGGCCATAATTAAAAACAACTATATCTTATGAGGAATGCAGCGCCATCAGTCACAAGGAGTTTTCACCTTCAGTTCTATCCAAGCTACTTCACCAGCAGACCGCGGCACGCTAAAGGAGGTCTACAAAACTCCTAAGATGTCATCTGTCATGATCTGGCCTGTTTGCTCTCCCTTAATTAGT